GGCAGGGGTAGGATACTGTAAAATCCCCATTTCCTCCTCAGACCACTAACCTGCTTTCCAGCTCCGTTCTCCTATGCAGGGCAACAAAAGAAGACCCAGCCAATCAGCTGGGACTCAATGGGAGGCAGAGAAGAGATAGGGGAGGGGCCAGTCAGAGGCGGTATTTGCCGCTTCTCTGAACTTCTCAAAATTTCCCCTACCGGTTCTCCAGAACTGCTCAGAACTTGCCGAATCCCACCTCTGGCTCAGACCTCTTCAAGTTATGAGGCTGAGAAACACTGACATAACAGATAAATATAACTGTGGCATCTCTGTTGCTCGCTGAAAGTGATTTCATTGCGGATGTTTAATTACAAAACTAGGTAACAGCAGCACTGCTGATATTAACTAATTGGGTAATGAAACGTCTGCAAGGAACAGAACCAAACTTAGGGACCACCAAGGACCCCACAGTTCAACTCCAAACTACAAATACTCTCTTCTATTGAATAAATATAAATATACCTTACGTTTGAGTTGAGCAAGGCTCATTCAACCTCTCTCATCCTTGAGACTTAGCTTAAGGCCATCTTTTTCTAGATTTTGGGATGTTACCCAGGAAAAGTAGAACTCCATTTGGCAAAATTAATTTCATGGTTTTTCTCTTATTTGCAAAAAGGCTTTTTGCAAATAAGAGAAAAACCATGAAATTAATTTTTTGTATGAATGGGCAACAATTGCCAAAGAAATAAGGTCCTCTTCCTCCTTCTGATTCAGTTTCTCCTCTTCCTCCTCCCCCCATCTTTGATTCTGTTACTACTACTACTACTACTACTACTACTACTACTACTACTACTATTAAAGCTTTGGAGCATCTTTTCCCCCACTTGAAGTCCTTCAATAAGTTTGGATAGAAATTCTGATACAAATCCTTTTAAAAACAACAAACCAAAAGCGTACAGGAAAAATCAAGTTGTCTCTGGGTGTCAAGAAAGCTGAGTCTTATTTCAACCCCCCTGCCATCTTTGTTCCAGAAATAAAGGTTGCATGACAAACTATTTATGCAGAGTTTATTGGCTCCTTGACATCTGTCAAGCGTGGACTGACAAGGGCTGGATCTGATCCCCAAAAGGTGTTTTGGAGAGCACGGGAACTCAAACGGAGCATCTGTCTCGGTCTCTTGAAAGTAGCGCCGTCCTTTCCTTTCCTCAAATTTTTGCACCAGCTGTTGCGTGTAGAGAATAAGGAAAACGACTTGGGCAGCGATGTGCAAGATTTGTTATCAAAGTGACAAAAAGTGAAACAACAGATGGAAAATGTGTGGAAGGCGCTGGACAGACTATCCTGATTTAGTGGAATATAAGAAAGGGAAAGAGGTGCAACACAAACAAACTAGTAAAGTCTTGTTATCAAAGGCAATCTCAATAAAAAAAATAGTTTTAGCCTGCCTGTAGGGGTGCTTTTTTTTCTGATCTAGTCTACCTGATGGGACTGACAGCTGAATCCTGGGAAATGGTATCGATACGAGGAGTCTTTGGTGCTCTCTGAGCTTGCTTGTTTTCTTGCAGACGTTTCATTACAAACTAGGTAACATCATCAGTGCTAGTGGATAATGGTATGGATAATATACTGTGCAGAGTTGCAGAGCAAAATTTTGTTTGCACCCTTTCTGGAGGACCTCTATGGAGTCAAACTGGAGGTGCTGCCCAGTCCTATAATTAATTATCTACTTTATTTGCCTCCTTATTCATACTGTTTTTTCATTCGATGAAATTGTTCTTGCCGTCAGAAAATATCTCCTTACTTCTAGGTTGAATCCCTCTTTAACAAGCTTCTACCAATTGCTTCTTGTCCTGCCCTCTGGTGCTTTGAAGAATAAGTCACACACACACACACACACACACACACACACCCGACCCACCCCACCCCAGAAGAATGAAATATTTTGGGAAATATTTAAAAAGGCAGAATAATATATTTTCCTAAAGGAGAAATGGAGAAACATGTTTTTTAGAGGCAGGAAGCACTCCCCCCCCAAATCTTTCCTGATAGCCCACAGCAGATACCAGCACTTAAGAGACAATGAGCTTATTGACAGAAGAAGACGGCTGTCTAAATAGCTCTATTCATCAGCAAAGCAAATACTGCAGACAGACATCCATTCAAGACAGGATATTTCAAAACTCCTTGGCAGAATGGCAGGATTAGAAAGCAGCCCCCCACCCAAGATCCAACACAGGATGAAAGCCATTAAGACACAATAGGAATTGCCCAACACCCTTTCAGAACACAAGCCCCCTCATTCAGGGGTGGGATTCTACCAGTTCGCACCTATTTGCTAGAACCGGTTGTTAACATTCTAAGCAGTTCGGAGAACCGGTTGTTAGAAGAAATTACTGGCCTAATCCTGTAAGGAAGGCAGGAAGGAAACATTCTGGTGTTGCTTACAGAAACTGCCTCTCCGTTAACCCTTATTACATTCTTGGCAGGACTAGACTTCCTGTCTCTGGAGCTTCTCTGGAGTTTTTTTTCAGGAAATTTCTCTTTAATTCTGAGCTGCTTCTGTCCTTGATTAGTTTCCATCCATCGCTCCTGCTTTCAGGGGACTAGAGACTAAAACATATGAAGAATGGTTGCATGGCTAGTCTAATGAAGAGAAGGACCAGGGGAGACATGATAGCAGTGTTCCAATATTTGAAGGGCTGCCACAGAGAGGAAGGGGTCAAGCTGTTTTCCAAGGCACCTGTGATGACCCCGGGTGGGATACAAAACCGACACAGTCACAGAAAACAGGGGAAGCCCCTTTTATTCCTTCACTTGCTTCCAAGCTCCAAATATCTTTGACGGAAGACAAAAAAACTCCCACACAAACAGTTACACGAAGAAGGAAAAAAGCCACACAAACCAGGCAAGATAAGGACTGGAGGATGTCCACAGATAACACACACTGGGAAGGACGCCAAACTCAGAGAGGAACTATAAACTAGAGATATTTACACGCTTTGTTTCCAGCGTTCGCCAGTACACAGGTCCAAACTCTTATTCAGTTGTCACAGCTGCAGCACATGAAGAGGATCAAGGCCCTCTCCTCCCAAGGAGACCACATCTCTCCCTTATCCTCTCCTCCATGCATGCCCTAGGTTGGATAGGGGATGGGCCTGGGTCCTTCTCTGACTACTCAGTCAACCTCTGCCCTTCCACCATCTCCTCCACAACCTCCAGAGCCACACTTCCACTTCCTGTCAGTTGTTCCTCCTCTCCCTCAGAGTCAGTCTCCACCAGGGTCATGACACACCTGGAGGCCAGACAAGGAATAATGGATGGAAACTGAACAAGTGGTGTAGGGTTTCCTGTCTAAGCAGGGGTTGGACTTCCAAGGTCCTTTCCAACACTGTTATTCTATTCTATTCTCAATATTGGAACAGTGCTATGTTATTGTGAGTTGGACTAAGGAGAAATTTCCTAAGGGTGAGAGCAATCAAGTTGGCCACCCAGTCACATGACCATCTAGCCATGCCCACCCAGTCATTAGGGCAGAGAAACGGTTGTTAAATTATTTGAATCCCACCACTGGTTGGAACCCCCAAATTATTCTTCTAACACTAAATAGAAGGGAGACTATGTGAAAAAGTATTTTGTAAATGTGTCTTTTCAATCCAGGTGTTCATGTCATCTGGATGGCCAGCAGAAGTTAAGCATTAAACAGAAAAATAAATATATCCACCATGAATATAGATAGATAGATAGATAGATAGATAGATAGATAGATAGATAGATAGATAGATAGATAGATAGATAGATAGATATAAAATTAGATTTAAAGATAGATAAAGAATCCAGAAGCTACACCAAAGCCTACTTTCTTCAAAAGAGAATTATGGAGATGAAATAAATAAAGGTTAATGAAAAGCTCTGATGTCCACAGATGAAAAATATCCTATTCATCAAACTTATGAAAATATGGGATTTTCAGAGGAGGAGATCAAAGTGGAAGGAAGAAAAGACAGCTGTTATCAATGCTCACCTTAAATTGAAGAAGGGGGGGAGGAAGATGAGAAAATAATAAAGAGGGCATAAAAGATGAGAACAAAATGCTAAAAGAGAATATGGGCTACGTGTAGGAAATCTTCGCTGCAAATTGACAATGGTTCAGGGTTCCATCTGGCTGGCTGGTTCAAAGACATGTAAACAATCTGAAGAGGAGGTGGCTAAAACCTTGATTTATAGTAACTTTTAGTTTAATGAAAAGAAGGACTCGGGGTGTGTCTGTGTGAGACCTGATAGCAGTCTTCCAATATTTGAGGGGCTGCCACAAAGAAGAAGGGAGTCAAGCTATTCTCCAAAGCACTTGAGGGCAGGACAAGGAGCAATGGATGGAAACTAATCAAGGAGAGAAGCAACCTAGAACTAAGGAGGAATTTCCTGACATTTGGAACAATTAACCAATGGGAATGACTTGTTTCCAGAAGTTGTGGGTGCTCCATCACTGGAGGCTTTTAAGAAGAGAGTGGAGAGCCATTTGTCAGGAATGGTATAGGCTCTTCTGATTGAACAAGGGGTTGGACTAGAAGACTTTCAATCAATCAGAATTGTGATGACCCAGGGTGGGATACAAAAGCAACAAAGTCACAAAAACAGGTGAAGTCCCTTTAATTCCTTCAACTTGGCTTTAAAGCTCCAATTATCATTGACTGGAGAAAAAACTCCCCCACAAACAGTTGCGAAAAGGAAGGACTTCCGTTCAAACTCAAAATACATATAAATTATAAATAGAAAAAAAAAACAACACAAGCCACACTGAAGAATTGATGAGATAAGGCAGGATAAGGGCTTGAAAACATCCACAGATATTGAAATACACATGCTGGGAAGGACACCAGAACTCAGATAGACGGACTAGAAATATTTTCACGCTTTGCTTCCAGCACTGGCCCATGCACAGAGTGTCCTTTTAAACAGTCCTCACAGCTGCAGCCCATGAAGGCGATCAAGGCCCTTTCCTCCCCCATAGACCACACCATTCACATTTCTCCCTTATCCGTTCTTCCCTGTGTGCCCTAGGATGAAGAGGGGATGGTCTGGGTCTTCCCCTGAACACCTAGCTGGCCTGTGCCCTTCCCCAGTCTCCTCCACAACCTCCGGAGTCACACTTCCATTCCCTGTCAGCTGTTCCTCCTCTCCCTCGGAGTCAGATTCTAACAGGAGCATCATAGAGTAGAGCTGGAAGCAGCAATGAGTTCCTACTTGTTCCACTACCGGTTTGGTGTTCTCTCTTGTGAGCACCTAATGAGCGCACAGCTTTTCACACACCAGCTGAGGCCTGCAACGCCAATCAGCTGAGAGGATAAAGAAGAGAAGAGTGCAGGGGCAGGTGGGAGGGCCAATCCTGCGCTTTTCTCTTCTTTCTCCTCTCAGCTGATTCTCGGAGGCCTTTTTTCTTCCTCCTCTCAGCTGGTTGTCAAGGGGCGTGTTAGATCGGGTACAAAAAAGACGCGAGACCAGTGAACTTCAAGCTCTTTATTTCATGTATAGATCTGTACAAGATCTTGGAGCCGTGGCAGCCCTTCCTATAGGGATTGCTCGCAGCTCGCCGGCCAATGACAGGTCTTTGAAACTCCCGCGATCGGCTCGGCCAATCGCGGTTGATTCTTAGAGGACCAATCACTGCTGTTCAGTGGACCAATCACAATGTCCTTTGTGTGGACCAATCAGAAGTCAGTATTTGGAGTATGTTAATACAGAACAGGGCGGGGGGGTTGCTATTGGTTTGGCTGAACCGGGCCTAACCGGTAGCATACCACTACTGACCGGCAGGGACGTTGGAGGTCTTTTGAGTCCAACTTCCTGTTCAGGACCCTGGCCTATACCATTTCAGATAGGTTGCTGTGAGATGAGACCTGGTCCACATATGAAAGCCTAAGAACATGCTGGCAACAGTTTCCTTGACATTTCAAGCAAATGACTGCAACAGATGGAAACCGATGAAGGAGAGAAGCAACCTAGAACTAAGCAGAAATTTCCTGACAGTTTGAATAATTCATCAGTGGAACGACGTGCCTCCGGAAGTTGTAGATGCTCCAACACTGGAAGTTTTTAAGAAGAGATTGGACAACCATTTGTCTGAAATGGTACACTGTAGGGTTTCCTGCCTGAGCAGGGGGTTGGACTAGAAGACCTCCAAGGTCCCTTCCAACTCTGTTAAATCCTGTGGAAAAAAAACACTTACTGTTCTTAGAACCTCCTGCTATTTGCAGTGGTTTTCTTCTGGAAAAGTCACAGAAAGCTAAACCAGCAGATTTTGCAGTCTGATAAACCAATTGTCCACTTGATGAGATTTTTGGGGGGGCGGGGGGGCGGGGAGGGGGTAGGCCTTAAAGATCCAAGGATTTCAATTTGAAGACTCCTGGAGAACTTTTTGGGAAGCAAGAACTAAGACCCGCAAAGTTCATCTCTGAGACAGCCTGTGCATCGAGACTCGTGGCTTGGATTTTTCGATTCCACCTCACATCTTGGTGACATTTTCATGCTTATCTAATGCACAGAATGACCTTCTTCACCGGGGAAACACAAATACACACACACACGCAGACAGATATGCTAGAGCTCAGGCTAGCATTTTGCAGCAAAGAACAGAGATTTATTTTTTTTATAGAATGGATCTTATTATCTCAGAATTCATGATGGCTCTTCTTACCCAGGGTTGTAAAAATGAGGGGAAATAAATTCCTGAAGAATAGGTACATTGAGAAAAAGGACTTTGTGGTGAGTCTAACAGCCCATTTGTATTACCTGAGCATTTGTAACAATAGTATATGTATAGCAATGCACAGGCATTCCAGCAACACATTCAATCAGTCTGGATGCATCAGTGCGGAAATTCAAGGCAACCCTTCAGAATGGAAGGTGTTCAAAATATATATTTTATAGAATAATAATATAAAGAGCGGTAAGGTTGAACTGGCTATTGTTTGAATATGCATAAGGTACTTGAATGGAAGATTATTTATTTTATTTTATTTATTTGATTTGATTTGTCAATTGCTTACAAGATAATAGGTATAAGTAAAAACTTAGTTATGAATACATGGATACATATAAGAAAAATAAAAGAAACAATAGGACAGGGACGGTAGGCATGTTGGTGCACTTATGCACGCCCCCTACAGGCCTCTTAGGAAAGGGGTGATTTGCCCTGATCAAGTTGTGTAGTCCACATGTTTTTGCAGTGTAAGAGTTGCAGATTACAGGAAATGAATGGAAGGTTATCAAAAGATGTAGACTAAATCAGGAAGAGAGGGAGGGAGGGAGGGACAAAGGAAGGAAAGAAGGAAGGAAGGAAGGAAAGAAGGAAGGAAAGAAGGAGGGAAAGAATTTGTAATTCCATATGTCAAAACCAGATGAAGGTCATAGAAAATTTCAATTTCACCAAGAAAACCCCAAATTTAGTTGGAGTGGAAGCGGGTGAGGAACCAGAGAGCAGCCAGGGAACAGCTTGGCCATGGGTGTGACTCTAGGTGAGTGAGGCAACATAAGGAGTGGTTAGGAGGGGCAGGGCAGGGCCAACCAGTGGTGCAATCAACTGGTTCTCTGAACTGAGCAAAAAGTTAACAACCAGTTCACCTGAACCAGTCTGAACTGGCTGAAACTCACCTCTTTGCTCATCTCCATTTCTTGGTCAAGGGAGCCAGCTTTGTCTGAAGACATTTCTCATGGTCACGTGGCCAGCTTGGCTATACACCAAGGATCACGGAGTGCTGTTATCTCCTCGCCGAAGTGGTACCTATTTATCTACTTGCATTTGCATGCTTTTGGACTCCTAAGTGGGCAAGAGCTGGAGCAAGGAATGGGAACTCACACACACCCCTCGCGCGGTACACTGGTCTCAAACCCAGGCTGTCCCCTTTCCAGCTGACAAGCTCAGCTTCTTTAACCACTGAGCCATCGTGCGCTCCCTCACAAAATGTTCAAAACCTAATTAAATCACAAAATCGAGACATTTTGCATTTCCCTTCCAGGCAGCAAATGACTGCTGTTTGTCCACCGACCCATGAAACACTCATCAAAATGGCTGCTTAGAAACAATGTGGGACAATTATTTGTTGAAAATGAATGATTCCAGCCATCTTCTCGGTATGCATATTCAACTCCTTTCATTCTTTTTTTTTTTTAAGGCAATTCCTGACCTCCATCATCCCGCAGATTCCTCAGCTAAGCCTCATTACCCAAGGTGCTAATTTACAATGTTTGAAACCATAATCAAGTCCTTCCTTATTACAACCTGATGGTAATGGTCTCAAAGTGTACGCAACCAAGGTTCACATCCTTTGACTCCCCCAGGGAAGCCAGAAGCTTGCAAAAGTCCTCTAAGATTAGCTGCAGAATTACAATGTTTAATGAGACAGAAGAGGAAAATCGCCAATAAAGAATGAAAATCATCAAATATAAGGGAGTAATCATTTTAACTGTGTTTAACTTAACTGAAATGTAATTTAATCAAAACCAATTCAATTTTTCTTTTAGCTAAGTTCACGGTCCGCCTTGGTTGAGTCTACTCTCTGCACCGCAGGCTCTTGATATGAGGGAATTGTGATAGTTGTCTTAGTTTTCATTTTGTACATTCACTGCACACCGGAGGTGGTATTCAGCAGGTTCTGACCAGTTCTAGAGATCCGGTAGTGGAAATTTTGAGTAGTTCAGAGAACCAGCAAATACCGCCTCTGACTGGCCCTGCTCCCATCTATTCTCTGCCTCCCGAGTCCCAGCTGATCGGCTGGGTCTTCTTTGGTTGCCCTGCACAGGAGAATGGAGCTGGAAAGCAGGTTAGTGGGGTGGGGTGAGAATGCAGATTTTACAGTATCCTTTCCACCTCTGCCTGGGAGGGCAGAAACTTGGACCTGGGTCCCCTATATACTTCATTAATTTGTCTCTTTAGCTTGGCACTTTGTAGCCCAAATGTGCCCACCCACTTTCTGAGAGCTTAATTGACCTCTCTACTAAAGGGTTCCACTTTATGAGCAAGTGTTGGCTGCTGATAGTTATCATTGCATTTTAACTACTTTAATTCCTCAAGGTGCTCTGGCACCCTGCCTGATTTGTAAGTCTGGTTTGCAGGTATTGCTGATGAAAAGGAAGGTATTCAGACCGAATGGTTTAGGTTTCCCTGATGGCTGTGACTCAGAGGTGGTATTCAGCAGGTTCTGACCAGTGCTAAAGAACCAGTCGCGGAAATTTTGAATAGTCCGGAGAACCGGCAAATACCACCTCTGACTGGAGATTTTACAGTATATCCTTCACCTGCCAGGCCCACCAAGCCACGCCCACAGAACCAGTAGTAAAAAAAAATTGAATCCCACCACTGCTGCACACCCTCTCTCCTTGCACGCCAGAGTTTTGAAAATGGTATTATTACTTTCATTCACACACGTTTGTGGATAAGAAGGAAATTTCCATTAAAAGTCCCAAAGGTGGTTTTTTTTTTTGTTGTTCAAGAGGCAACCGGACTTTCTGGTTTTATTTTGAAGATGCTTTGCTTCTCATTCAGGAAGCTTCTTCAGTTACAGAACAGAGATGAAGAAGCTTCTTGGATGAGAAGTGAAATGTCTTCAAAGAAAAGCCAGAAAGTCTAGTTGCCTCTTAAAACAAAAGCACCTTTGGGCAGTGATGGGATTCAAAAATTTTTACAACTGGTTCTGTGAGTGTGGCTTGGTGGGTGTGGCTTGGCTTGGTGGACGTGGCAGGAGAAGATTACTGCAAAATCTCCATTCCCTCCACACCCCACTAGCCTGCTTTCCAGCTCCGTTCTCCTGTCCAAAGCAACCGAAGAAGACCCAGCTGATCAGCTGGGACTCAATGGGAGGCAGAGAATAGATCGTGGCAGGGCCAGTCAGAGGTAATATTTGCTGGTTCTCCAAACTACTCAGAATTTCTGCTACCGGTTCTCCAGAACCAGTCAGAACCTGCTGAATACCACCTCTGCCCTTTGAGACAACCGTGACCTGGATGACTGAAAATCTCCATAGACATTTCCATTAAAAGCTACCCCAAACACAAAAGGCAATGAAACACGCAGAGCACACAACTTTCAAGTTAAAACCAAAGCAAAGTCAAAGAGTCAAAATAGAAAAGCATCTTGCATTCATATTGAGTTAATCTTGGAGAAGACCAGCACAAACCAGTGAAGGGCTTCTTCTCTGGTGGAATTCCTCTCCAGAAGCATAATTAACATCCTTGTCATTTATATTTAGAAGACGGGCATAAGCATGGCTGTTTGGCCTGGCTTTCAGAGGCTCAGCCATTCCCATGCTCCTTAACGTAGTTTATTGTTTTTTATGGTTTTAGACTAGAACAATTTAACAATTTAAGACACCATTAAAAAAAAGCTTATTGTAAATAAAATGGAAGGGAGGGAGGGATAGATTATAGATAAGTGTGTGTGTGTGTGTGTGTGTGTGTATACATACACAGAGAGAGAGACAGACAGATGGACAAACAGAGAAACAAATATAACGTAGACAGATGATAGATGATAGACAGACAGACAGACTGACAGACAGTTGATAGATTAGAGAGAGAGAGAGAGAGAGACGTACAGACAAATATAAGAGAGGGAGGTAGACAGATGATAGCTGATTGACAGAGAGTGATAAATGATAGATGATAGATAGATAGATAGATAGATAGATAGATAGATAGATAGATAGATAGATAGACAGACAGATGATAAATGATAGATAGATAGATAGATAGATAGATAGATAGATGATAGATAGATAGATAGATAGATAGATAGATAGATAGACAGACAGACAAATATAAGGGAGGGAGGTAGACAGGTGATAGAATATGAGAGAGAGAGAGAGAGAGAGAGAGAGAGAGAGAGAGAGTCAGTCCAGGTGATGCATCTCATGCTGCCTTCTCCCATTATTTCGCTCAGCTCCCCTGTGAAGAAGGTCGGGCTGAGAGGAGAAGGTTTTGCCCAAAGTCACTCAGAGAGCTTTCATAACAAAGTGGGGGAGAAGTGGGATTTGAACCTGGGTTCTCTTTATACCAGTCCAACACCTTCACCACGACACCACCATTATTATACTTGGAATTGCCTGCTATCCCGGGATGTGTGAGCACACAACACTCTCCATTTACTTGGAACGGAGAAGGTTTTAAGCCAAGAGAAGGAACTCTTTTCATAAAACGGGCTTGCTAGACTCACTTTTTGTGAAATGGCTGGCTGTAGAAATGTGAAAAATAAACAAAAGTACAACTGGCCTAAGCAAGAATATTGCTGAAGGAAGACACCAGGAACTTCTATGCTGCTCCCAACTGGGTGCACGAGGAACTGATAGTAAAGGTAAAGGTTCCCCTCACACATACATGCTAGTCATTTCCAGCTCTAGGGGGCAGTGCTCATCTCCATTACAAAGCCAAAGAGCCAACTCTGTCCGAAGATGTCTCCGTGGTCATGTGGCCGGTATGACTAAATACTGAAGGCACACAGAACACTGTTACCTTCCCATCAAAGGTGGTCCCTATTTTTCTACTTGCATTTTTTTACATGCTTTCGAACTTGCTAGGTTGGCAGAAGCTGGGAGAAGTAATGGGGAGCTCACTCCATTATGTGGCACTAGAGATTTGAACCGCTGAACTGCCGACCTTCTGATCGACAAGCTCAGAATCTTAGCCACTGAGCCACCACGTCCCGTGCAAAATGTCCTTTTCTTCTTCTTTACTTTTCATTTCATGGCTGAGACGCTGACATGAAAAGCGATCTGAACTTAACTTTTCCAATTTACATTATCCTTTCAGTGCGTGTCATATCAACACAGCCGACTCAATTAATGCCTTCCCACGGCACTCAAGGCTGCCCAGCCAATTAATTATGTGGCTTTTCAGAAGGAGGAAAATGCACCCAACTTGGTTACCAAGAGCTTAGCCAAGATAGGCCCTCAGAGGAAACAGAAATGCTTTGGGCTGGAGCAGAGACTCGGGAGGGATGGCGGGGAATGATAGTCCTCTACTTATGACCTCAAGATAGAAGCACCTGGAAGGGAGCTTGCAAGCTAGCTCGTGCTGTCTAACCTAATATGATGTCCTTGTACATTATCCAACACAGCTGTATTGTGATCTCAGAGTTTTCTTGCACATGAAGAGGCTGTAGTGGCTCATCTCCCTTCAAAAGAAGGTTTAATTAATGCTTGTAGAGTTTCAGACAACACAAGATCTGGGTTGGTCGTTTTTGTAAAATGTATGTTTTTTGATGAGTAATAATTAAAGCTTCAATTGAGAAAACATTGTGAGAAGAAGGAATAAATTGAGGGGGGGGGAGAAAGAGGAAGTTATATAATGCCTTTTGTATAACATCTTCTTCCCTCCCTCTCTTCCTTCCTTCCTTCATTTCTTCCCATTCCCATTGCCTCTTTTCTTCCTTCTTCCCTCCCTCCCTCCCTCCTATCTTTTCCTTCTTTCCTTTCCATTCCTTTCCTCCTTCCTCCCTCTCTTCCCATTTATATCACTTCCTTCTTCCCTCCCTCCCTCCTAACCCTTCCTCCTGTCAGGGGTCCGGCAGTTACTCCAATTAAATCACGAGCCTCGAGCCACACTCTCAAAACTAAAGAGGATTTATTTGAATTTAACATTCTACATCCAGCACTAACCTGGGTGTAGCCAACTCTATGATATGTAATTCACTGTCACCCTTGATCCTGCTTCCCCACCCCCCACCCCTCTGGGTGTATCATCCAATGAAAAACATCCACAGCAAGGAGTCATCAATCATGCTCTCCAATTAGATTTTTTCGGGGCAGAAGCTTCAGCCATCTAATCAGTCTTTGAAGAAAACATGAATAGAATGTACTTTCGATTCCACACTGTTTCCTGCTCTTTGAAACTCCTCCCCTTCCTTCTGTTGTCAACTATAACACATGTATACAAAATGTTTTATAAGTTGACATCTCCTCTCCTTTCCCACTTCCTCCCTCTCTCCCTTCCTTCCTTCCTTCCCATTCTCATTCCTTCCTTCCTCCCTCCCTTCCCAAAATGAAATCCTTCATCCCCGACCCCCCAATTTTAAATGCCTACAAAATATTGATTATCACTATTCCTTATCAATGGTTATTGAGTTTATCTTACAGTATAATCTATAAATACATATACATGAAGTCAGTTTGGTGTGGTGGATAAAGGCACTATGCTAGAAACTGGCAGACTGAAAGTTCTAGTCCTTCCTTAGGCACAGAGGTGGTATTCAGCAGGTTCTGACCAGTTCTGGAGAACCAGTAGCAGACATTTTGAGTAGTTCAGAGAACCGGCAAATACCACCTCTGACTGGCCTTACCCCCATCTATTCTCTGCCTCCTGAGTCCCAGCTGATCAGCTGGGTCTTCTTTTGTTGCCCTGCACAGGAGAACGGAGCTGGAAAGCAGGTTAGTGGGGTAGGGAGGGAATGGAGACTTTGCAGTAACCTTCCCCTGGAGTGGGTTGGGAATGGAGATTTTACAGTATCCTTCCCCTGCCATGCCCACCAAGCCATGCCCATCAAGCCACGCCCACAGAACCAGTAGTAAAAAAAAAATCCCACCGCTGCTTAGGCATGCAACTAACTGGGTGGCATTGGCCTAGTTCCTATCCCATGCATAGGAAAAAGCAAGCAAGGGCAAACCAAACCAATTTTATTGTCAAGAAAATTTTGGGAGTCAAAAATAACTGTTCAAAAGCTCAACTTTTAAGCAGGAATGTGACACATTATTTTTCTTAGTTTGGATACTTAAACTAAGAAATATATAAACATTTTGACATGTCACTGTGACATGTATTTGCAATTTACTCAGATGCCTGTATTCTGGTGCACACATTGTATTTGATTTGGATAAAGCTACAGAAAACTGTTTTTTCCACAAATGATAAATTATAGACAATGTTGCTTGCAATAGCCAGTCATGCCCTGCCTTGTGAATATCCCTTTTAAAAGATCAATCTTGGTATATCTTATCAACTAAACTGTACCATGGTCAAATATATCACAACACAACAACAATCACCGTTCTCATTTCCCACATCTCTATTTTTGCTATTCGGAGTGACATTCCCAGTGAGCAGACGGGAGATTTATATTACAGATGGTAATTCTTAAATATCTTTAATACCAGGAAGGCAACTCATCAATCTTAGAGCAAGAGATATAGCCAAGATTATTTATTCCGACAGTCAATCATTAAAAAACCCACAATGCTCAATCTATCATAAATCCAGGCTTTATTCCTTCAAAGATTTGGCCTCAGGAAAAAAAAATTCTTTGGAGTCATATGGAAAGAAACATTATGATTAATACTATATATATATATAATGATTTGTTTACTTATTTATTTTACTTTATATGCCA